ATTAGTAAAATAAACTCTCATCTCTCACGATGACCCTTTGTTCCTGAGAACTTTCTCTACTTGCCTTGAGGACACTATGTTTGGAGATTTTTATGCTTCAGAATATATCTATAAGATTTCTTCCTTGAATGGAAAAGGCTTTGTATGTTGCAGAGACAGATGTGTTTCTGGGCTGGGAAGGCACAGACTAAGCCATAGAAGCCAATTATAGGAGAAGAAGACTGCCTATTCCTACTTCTTAGAATTCAGTGTAAAGACAAACAGAAAAAAAGGAAGACATGGCACAAATATGATTATGAAAATGATGATATGAGAAGACCAAAACTGGTGAATTGCACCCATTTGTAAGAATATAGCCATAATTTTAAAAGAAGTGAAATGTCCAGTTAAGGAGCTGCTATAGGTATAGGATGCGACATGATTGAAATCTGGCAAATTTCCATCAGTGATGTGCTTGAGAACTTCCAGGACTGTGTGAAGCTCCCAGGGTAACCTGTTCCCAAATGTGGGGGATGGGAATGGGGTTCCTAGCAATCTGGGAGATGGCCTACCTTGATCCAAGGAGACACCTCTTTTAGATGAAAGCATGTCTCTGCACAATGACCCCTGCCTGGCCCTACACGTGGTATTAGGAGTTCACGGGACAGTGGACAGTGTGCTGTGATGGCAGGAAACAAAAAGAACATGAAGAGTGAGAACGTTCAGGTTCTAGTACCATCGTTTCCACTCGTTGGCTCTCTATCACATTCAGCCAATATCTAAATGTCTTTCACTCTGACTTTTTTTATCTCTCCACATGGGGACAAATATTCCTTATGTATCACTGAAGATTTGACAAGAAAGGGTCAATGGAAAAGATGGAAATGAGGCCACCGTGCAAGGGGACTTCATAAAGATGAGGTCCTGGTGTGCTTTGATGTATGCCGAGGAGCTTCCAGAAGGCCATGGAGTCTGTGAAGGGAAAACTGAGATGGGAAGGTGAGTCACTTCCGGCTTTGGCTTTATCTCTATTATTGGCGTTTTAAGTAGTGAACATGTATTAATAGATTACTTGTAAAATTTAAAAATCTGAAAGAGTACAGAAATAGGACTATGGCATTTTGTAAAAGAAATATATTATCAATTTTAGAAATTTAATGTAAAAAATGTTATTAATTTGTTCTTCCCTTGTAAGATAGGTACGTGGTCCTCCATCATTCTGAAATCCAAGAAACTTTAAAAACAGAGTTTTAACTGAAGTTTTCAGCAAACTTATTAGATGGTAAAACATAACCTTAATGAAGGTTAGTCCTTATTCTTTTCTTTGTTTTCATTTATTTATTGAGAGAGTGTGTGTGCACACAAATGTGCATGTGTGTGTGTGGGCGGGGGGAAGGCCAATGAGAGGGGGAGAGAGAATCCCAAACAGGATCCTTGCTGTCAGTGCATAGCCTTGATGTGTGGCTCGATCTCACAAACCATGAGATCATGATCTGAGCCAAAATCAAGAGTCAGAAGCTTATCCGACTGAGCCAACCAGGTGTCCCTTTGTCTTATATATTTTTTTAAATGCACACACTGAGAGAACATCTACATCATACATAATACATGAGCCATTTTAACTTGTGAAAATGCAAAAAATTCTGGCATATTTTGACCCTGAAGTTTTCATATAAGGAATGGTGTACCTGAACGTGTATATTAAATTCATGAATAAAGCAAATACTCTAGTGGCTCTTTCTGGAGATTTAGTCAGGATAAATCCAAGTGCCTCAGATCTGGTAGCCTTTCTGAGGGCATAATTCAGTACAACAAACATTTACTGAGTTGGTACTTTGAGGGGAATATCAAGATTAACAGGAGATGATTGTCATCTGCATTATAGTGGGGAATGCAATTCCACTTAAATTTAACATAAATTGCATTGGAATCAATGCTGTAAGAGGACTTTGATCAAAAGATGAAGATGGGTGAGAGCCCAGAACTCCTGACAGTGGTGGAAGGGTCTAGACTGGGGGACAGTCAGAGAGAAGACCATTCAACACTTCGATAACTTAATTCCTTTTTTCTTTTCTGAGTAACAATTTGTATTGTTGACTTTCTTTCTGCAAGATCTCAGAGGCCCTGTGGAATCAATATTCCCAAAATGTTTCCCAGGGTTATGAGCCCCAATGAAAGTGTCAACACCCAGTCATTCAAAATTGTGACCAGCAGGAGTCAAGAGTCTTCCCAACCAGAGGTGTCACTGTTGCACAGGGACCCTCTCACCCAGGTTCAGGAATTACAGTTGTCCCTGAAGAGGTTAACTGCTAAAGCATTACGTTGATATCAAAACACATTGGTTGTAAAGCCACTGAAACAATAGTAGATGGTGAAGAAAGAAACTGATGATTAAAACATGATTAAAACCAGTTTTTCCGCTAAATCTTAAACATGCCAGACCAAGCCCTGAGAGTGAGCAAATGAGACACTTACGGATTCCCCCCCACTCCCCAGGCCTCATTTGTGTCAAGGGTGTCTTATGACTTCAATGCTATTTGTGCCTTTGAAATTGCTTCCTTTTCTTTATTAGCATTTTTTAAAAGTTTCTTTATTTATTTTGAGAGAGACAAAGAGAGCACGAGCTTGGGGGTGGGGAGGAGCAGAGGGATGGAGAATCCCAAGTAGGTGCCTCAGGCTCAGTGCAGATCCTTTTTTTTTCTTTTAGTATTTATTTATTTTTGAGACAGAGAGAGACAGAGTATGAGCAGGGGAGGGGCAGAGAGATAGAGGGAGACACAGAATCTGAAGCAGGCTCCAGGCCCTTAGCTGTCAGCACAGAGCCTGAGATGGGGCTCGAACTCACGAGCCATGAGATCATGACCTGAGCTGAAGTAGGACGCTTAACCAACTGAGCCACCCAGGCGCCCCTGTGCAGATCCTGATGTGGGGGTTCAAACTAACAAAACTCATGACCTGAGCTGAAATCAAGAGTTGGCCACTGAACCGGCTGAGCCACCTAGGTGCCCCTCTTTTTTTCCATTTTTATGATTACCAGCCTATATAGTTCCATAACATGGATATACCCTATCCAGAAGTACAGTGCCGGGAATTCCAAAGGTAGATGCAGCCCCGGGTGATGTAAAGATGTGTGTGTCCTTTATTGGAAGAGAATTTAAGCATAGGTGTCTATGTGTCCACATTCCACCAAACACAGGAGAGCAGCTGTGGAATCAAAAGGCGGGAAGCCCTCTCTTCGGGACCTGTGACAACTTCTGTGTACATGTGGCAGATACCAACTCTGGCAGCCTAACTGGAAAGTCCCAGACTGTTGGGAGCCATTCTGGACTCACTAGTTGAGAAAACTCCTTGTGAGGTTAAGGCAAGTTTGCATGATGTCTTGCTTTCAGATGAGGACTGATATCTACCCCCACTCAATTGTTTCTGCTTGAGCACCGACCCCCAAAGCACCTTGTTGATTGGCCTCTGGGAGTGACTTAATTCTGGCCCTGGTATGATAATCGTACCTTGTGAAGAAAATTGTTGTAGCTTGGGAAAATGCTGATGCTTAGTAATCTGGAAATAGTGATCAGGAGTAAGTAATCGATGACACAGAAAGGTCAGCTATTGCCTTTGGGTTTACATTAATAAAATAATAACTTCGGTACAGACTGATGTACTATTCCTGGGTATGGATGACATTATAGGAACTATAAGCCCTGTGGCTAATGTTTAGATGTTTTCTTTTGTGGTTATGGAAGCAAACATTGCGTTTCCTGAAAAACCTGTTTTGCTTAATACTTCCCATTAGCAATAAACAGGCTATTGACCCCTGCTCACAGAGAACTAACTTTTCCCTTTACTACGCTAAAAACATTATCCTGTTTGTATTTGAATGCTATAGATACCTTCCTTCCTCATATGATGAGCATGAGTACCCTTATCTAAATCATAATAATAAGGTTATGCATATCAATGTTCTGGAAAGTTTTTACTGATCAAAGAATTTATCATCAGAATGCCATTTCTGGGCTGTTCCCCAAACACGTAATCATAAAATAAAGTTGAGTCTCAGACAGAGCAGAGATGCCTGCCTGGTGACCAGAAAGAATCTCATGGCTCTCTCATTCCTCTCTCGCCGACACCATCCATCCTTCAGGGACCCCTGTACTGGCTGGAGTGCGACTCCGGCACCAGACCAGCATTATGGCCGAGAAAACAGCACGAGGACTAACAGCAAGACAGCACCCACACCCGCCGGAACCTCAGCCTCCTGGAGCCCTATGTCATGAGAGCTCTATGGAAAAGGACTCTAAACTCTCATAATCCCATGCAGAGGGTGCTGTTCGTCGTGGCTCTGGGGACACTAATGGCTGTTGTCATGGTCATCATTTTACTGTGGTGGCAGTTGCCAAACCAAATCAGAAAATGGAGAAGAGAATGTGCAAACCTTTGAAACACACAAAACGTGTTGACTTAGTTGGAGTTGTATTCCTTCTAGCCGTATGCCTTCTTCTGAGCTGTCAAACTGGTAAGATTTGTGGGTGGCAAGATGATGTCATCTGTATTCAACAGCTTGTAGTAATTTCCACTCCTGGCCCCACTCAAAGGTTGAGATTATTGCGGTAAGTGGGATCTGAGCTTACAGATGAAAACCCCACTTTTCTTTTCCATTGAGATCACAGTACTGTCCCCTTTAGCAGGATGACAATTGTGCTGTCACCCGCATTACATCATACTATCTCCCTCAAAATGGCCTCATCTAAGTGTGTGAGCACAGCTGTGAAAACAAAACATATTTTACCGTGAGCTTTGTAAATCCTCAAGGCACATATTAACGAGTTTGCCTTTTTAAAGTAGTATAAAGAAATGTAATGTAAGAGGTGTGGCCGCTGTGAGTGAGTCAAGAGCAGGATTCTGGAGGTCAGAAGGCTGTGAGAGATCAGGGCTGGGTGCAGCGGCTGGGCCTGGCCGCTGGGCCCCTCTTGTGGTCCTACCTGGTGTGTGGAGGTGGGGTTCCACTGCTCCTGAGCAGCCCAGGAAGAAACTGCCTTTCTACCATGCCAAGTCATGCATGGACCACAGGATTGGGGGGCCACTTATTTAACCAAGTTATCACCAGGTAATGATATCAAAGGGTGATCAAGTGACTGTATCATCTTCTGGACACATCACTGACCACGCCGCTCTTGAGATCGGAAAGACTGAGCACCTCCTCCAACTACGGGTCCCAAATCTGGAGAAGCATCAGCAAACAAATAGAACAAATGTAGCAGGATCAGATAGTGTCATCTGGCAGGGCAAAGCAAAAGAAGGCTCCCGATGTTGGGAATAAGCTTCAGCTGACAAGATGTCATGTTGATAGACAGGAGAGGATTAGACATGACTAAACGTGGATCCAAAGACCAACCAAAGGAAGGTTTGCTTCCTTGATTCCACAAATGGCAAAAACCATCGAACTCACAGAAATGCGTACTTTGTGTTACCTCAATGACATCACCCATGCTCTCTGTGCTAAGCGCCCCTTCCAAGAACCTGGGGACACACCTGTCCAGTCACAGATGGGGTGGGTTGTGGGGTGTGTGAAGCTGCGTGGTGTCATGCTTCCCGGAGGGCTAGCTCAGTGGCTGGAGCTCTCCTAGAAACTTTGCTCAGTCTCTTGCTCCTTGGCTTGTCATTTGCTGTGTTAAAATGCACAGATAGAAAAATAAGAAAAGGAAGACCACCATAATGTCAGACGAGGGGCCCCTTCTTCAAAGAGTGGAAACTGTCTGATCAGCTGTCACCTGTTGCCAGGATGCATCTCTCCTTCTAAAACGGAAGGATGTGTGGTGGCTCATTCTCATCAAGGGATGGGAAGACTTGCATGGTGTTTCTCTTTGCTGGGGCTGTGTAACAAAGCACCACAGACTGTGTGCCTTAAACAACATTATCTTCTGACAGTTCTGGAATCTGGAAATCCAAGATCAAGGTGTCGGTAGGATTGGTTTCTTCTGAGGCTTCTCTCCTTGGCTTGTAGATGGCTGTGTTCTCCCTGGGGCCTCACGTGGTCTTTCCTCTGGGCGTGTTTGTGTCCTAACCTCCTCCTCTTCTAAAGACATCTGTCCTATTAGATTAGAGTCCACCCCATATGACCTCATTGAACTAATTACCTCAGTAAAGCTCTCATTAACTTAAGTACAGTCACGTTTTGAGATACTGGGGATTAGGACTTGAACATATGAATCTGGGGAACACACAATTCAGCCCATACACAACAAAGACCTTGCACCCTCAGAATCTATGTCTTCCACCAGCTAAACTCAGGCATACTCACCGGGCTGATTAGTCAGGATTGCAGTGGTAAAACCAGGGAGGACCCCTCAAGAACTTCAAAGACCAGACCATTAGGACTCGGCTCTGTCATCAGTCCCTTCTTGCATTTAAAAACAGCTCTTAATGTGTTCTACAAGGGACAAAGTTTAAAGCCGCTGTGGAAACTTATTTTTTTCCTAGGGAAAGAGTGGATTTCTTCCTTTACTTCTTCCAAAAGAAGTTTCCAGGGTGTAGGGCATTTCTTAAAATCCATATGAGGTCCTCATTATTGTCTCTGTTTTGCAGACGAAACACTTTGCCAGGAAGTCTTTGGCGGAGGCAGCCCTGTAACTCAGAAATTCCAGACTCCTCAAGCCTCAGTGACACAGATGTGAGCGGTTCCCGGTGCCGACCCGCGCTTCCTGACTGCACGTAGCAACGCGACGCACCTAAGAAGGGCCTGGGCTCCTTCCTGTGATAGAAAAGGGAGGTTACCTCTGTGTGGGTAGGGACTTGGCTGGAACAACAGGAGACGGTCCCCTATGTCCTGAAAAATGCAGAGATTTTTTAATGGAGCAGAAAAGTTATAGTTACATCACTGGGGTTTGCCCATCATTAAATACATTTGGTTTATTTTATATTATGTCTGACCTGCGTGTGTGAGGCTGTACATTCTTCCGTGTTTGGTAAAACACTGAGCAAGAAGGCACACTGACTAAATACTAGATGTTTAAGACCTGTCTTTTTTTTTTTTTCTTTTTTAGAGAGAAAGTGAGAGGGGGGGAGCGGTCGAGGGAGAGAGAGAAAGTCTTTTTTTTTTTTTAATGTTTATTTATTTTTGAGAGAGAGAGGATGCAGGGAAGGGGCAGGGAGGGAGGGGGACAGAGAAATCAAAGAGGGCTCAGCACTGACAGCAGAGAGCCAATCCGGGGCTCAAACTCATAAACTGTGAGATCACATGACCTGAGCTGAAGTCAGACACTTAAGTGAGTGAGCCACCTGTCTCGGGGGAGAGAGAGAGAGAAAGAGAGATTATTCAGCAGACTCCACACTCAGCCCCAACATGGGGCTCGATCCCATGACCCTGGGATTATGACCTGAGCTGAAATCAAGAGTCAGACACTCAACTGACTAAGCCTCTCAGATGCCCCTCAATATCTAATTTTTAATGTTGGTCTAAAGGGTCACACCTTCACAGTTCTCACATTATTTCTAAGCATGAAGACTGAAGATCTGATTTTGTTGCCTTGATGCAATCAGTTGTTAAAATGTTTTAAACTTTGGTTTTCTTTATATGGGTTTTTTTGCTTTTTTAAAGAGGGAAAAATAGAAGGTAATGACATATACAGAGAAAACTGATTTGGACTAAAGTTCCTTAAACGGATACTTTTATTTCTATGGAAACATAATTTTACTAACAATTTAAATAGAGAAGTAGGTGAAAATACATGGTGTTTACGTTTTTTGGAAAACATTTCTCAAAATTTCCATAAGCGTGTCTGTTTATAAACAACTTGAAAATTAATTTTGTTGCCTTAGGGGCCAGAAATTTAGACTCAAACAAGGGACATCTGGAGATGATCATTAAGTGAAATAGATCTTCTGAATGAGGCATCGTTCTATGGAAGTTAAGAGGTATACACTCATGCTTTTCTAGATGCTTAAATATACCAGCACTAAGTTTTGAGTTTTTTTTTCAGAGATGAATGCTATTTCACTCTGAATCGATGTACATAAAATAACTGTTACAATATTTCTGTATTAGCTGTTTACAAAATAATATATGTTAGGGGCTGAGGAATCTTCCATTGGAGAGTTGAGCACTAGAACCTCTCAACTCAAAGCAAGCAAAGTCATGAAGACACTCGCTTTAGTCATGAAGGCGGGGTCTAACTTACAGTCTATTTAATCTACAATGCAAAAAGGGAATGTGAGTTCTAATTTTTCAAGTTTAGAATGTGCAATTTTGGAAAGGCCATGTTGTTTAAAGGCAAAGGAAGAGGAAGAAAATCCTGCTGTAATCACTGTGCCTAAGATAATCATGCTCTCATTACAAAAAAAAAAAGTTTTGAGACTGCTATAGACTGAATGAATATTCATATCCCTGCCCCCCGCCAGGTTTCATTTATTGAAATCCTAACCCCACAATGTGATGGTGCCCTTTGGGAGGTGATGAGGTCGTGAGGGTGAGGCCCTTGTGAATGGGGTCAGTGACCTCATAAAAGACCCCAGAGAGCACCCTCACCCATTCTGCTACATGAGGACACAGTGAGAGGACAGCCATCTACCAACCAGGAAGTGGGGCCCCTTCACCAAATATACCTCGCCTTGATCTTGGACTTCCCGGCCTCCAGAACTGTGAGAAATGAACGTCTGTTGGTTACAAGTCTCCCAGCCTTTGGTTTTTCTGTCAGAGCAGCCCAAATGGACTAAGATGGGCACTTTTGGGTAAGGAGGGTTGGCTTTTGGACATTTTATTTCTGAACACTCGTCGCCCACCAATTCCTAAATAAATAACCGAAGAAATATAAAGTTGGGAAAAGCATCCATTTACACAGAAAGCAAAGGAAACAAATCATCAAAATGGCGGAAATAAACTTGTCTCCAAATGCCTGGCATGACTCCTGGGAAGTCAGGGGGTAAAGTCCTGGCCCCTGTGGGGTCTCTGGGCCGGGAGGGCTGAGTTCTGGAGAAAAGGGTGGGCTGTGAGACTAATCTAGAAAGCGCCTGGGGAGTCTGGCTGGGTGTGTGGGCTGCTGGGATCCCCTGGCAATAGTGCTCTTGCAGGACGCAGAGACTCAGGCTGCTGTGATTAGGGAAGAGCAGGGGCTCCCGGCCCAGGAGACGTCGTCTCCCGAAGTGTAAAGGTGGTTGTGATTGTGGTGAGCAGCCTGGGGAAGCCGGGACCCCTTCCCTGAACGAGAGGCTGCTGGGAGTGGTAGGGACAGCAGCCTGGGATGGTGGCCTGTCTTTGTGGACACAGGAACAGCTTTATCGAAGGTGGGGCTCAAGAGGCAGGTATTCAGATGCCAGAGAGGAGGCCCGCTGGAATCCTGGTGCCAGGCAGAGTGGCTTCCCTGTAGATCCAGGAGAAATTACAGAGACCAACCTCCCTTGTCAGCATAGCCCATGGCTCTGATGCTCTGTCTGCTCCCCTCAGGCTGGACCACTGATTAGCAACAATCAGTAAGCAAGAGTAAAACTAATATGCTGACTATGAAGAGACTCTTTATCATGAAATCCCACCAGTAAGATTCAGAGAATGTGTATATTTTTAAAGAATGTTTGTTTATTTATTTTGAGAGAGAGAGAGAGAGAGAGCGCGCGCATGCATCACAGTACGATGCAGGGCTCAATCCCACGACCCTGGGACCATGACCTGAGCCGAAATCAAGAGCTGGATGCTTAACCAACTGAGCCACCCAGGTGCCCCGAGAAAGTGTATATTTTTGAAAAACATTTGTGGCAAAAAATGCAGTGAATTTCAGAGAGCAATTGGTCTTTACTCTCAACATTAAAAAAAAAATATGCTCTCCATAAAATTAGATGCCCAGTAAAATGATGTGACAGTGGACGACTATGTGGAGATATAGGCAGAACCATACAGAGAAATAAATGAGGTATTGAATATATGTTTTAGAACTAAGCAGATAATATCAGAGTTAAGATGCATTCAAAGCAATAAAGAGCTGAATCAACCCTGCCAAAAATTATTTCAGTGACACAGAAGACAGCCTAGGGGGAAAAAGCATATGTATGTGTATGTATTTATATAATGCAAAAAAAATAATGAAAAAAAGAAAAAGAAGTACATGTGGGATTTCATGGATATACATGGAGATCCAATATGTGGATGACTATTTCTGAAGAAGGCACCAGAACAAATGGATCAAAGCAAAATTCAAACACATCTAAAACTTCCTTAAGACCTAAATCTCCCAATTAAAATAGCTCACTGGGTCTGAGGCAAAATGAAGAGTCTCAAACTCTTAATATACCCTGGTCAGAGTTCCAAAATTTAGGTAAAATTAAGAACTCTATTAATGCCCTGATAGAAGATTACATATGAAAAAAAAAAAAAAGGTTTTTAGGGGCATCTCGGTGGCTCAGTAGGTTAGGCGTCCAACTTCAGCTCAGGTCATGATCTCACAGTTTGTGAGTTCAAGCCCCGTGTCGGACTCTGTGCTGACAGCTCAGAGCCTAGAGTCTGCTTTGGATTCTGTAGCTCCTCTCTCTCTGCTCTTCCCCCACTCATGCTGTCTCTCTGTCTCTCTCTTTCTCTCAAAAAAAATTTTTTAAAAAACATGTTTAAAGAAAATGCAAACTGGTCTAAGAATTCCTTTTTTAAAAAATAATATAGGTGGTAAAATTTATAAATTTTAGAAATAAAGTCTATAAAAAATATAGCAACGATGCAATCAATGTCTATAGAGTTTTGACGGAGAAACTTTGTGACCCCAAATTCCTTATATAGTCAAGCTCTCACTTGCCAAGAACATTTTCAGAGATTCAAGGGCCCAAAATATCCAAACCATGTACTTTTCATGGGGGTATGAATACTCAGGGAAGTAGCCCTTTGCTACTCAGATGTGGTCTTCAATCCAGCAACGATCATTCATCTGAGACCTTGCTGGGAAGGCAGAATCTCACTTCGGGCTTCATCTCAGACCTACTGATTCAGAATCTGCATTCTAACAAGATCTCCATGAAATTTGCTTGTATATTAAAGTTCCAGAAGTACTGCTCTAATAAACCAAGTAATTAATCAAAATGTAAGCCCCCCACGCAAACAGTAAAGTCACAGCTGAGGACTGAAGTAAACACGTAAAAACCAAAAAATCAAATCTTAATAAATGTATATTCAAAGTCTACGTATACATTTTATAATATAAAATCATAACCTGAAAATTAATGTCTAAAATTTAACATAAATAGAGAAGAGTAAATGGCAGGAAATCAAATGAGCCCATTAGTCTCTATGGTTCAAAGGGATTCAATCGAATTAATTTGAGATGTTTTATCTGTGATTTGGTAGACAATATGCATATATTCAAATACGTTCTTGAAACTCTTAAATGAAACCCAAATTATAAACCAGCTATGTAACAAACTATTTGAGAGGGAAAAACTCATAATTCAAAATGTAAAAGAAAAATTTTTAAATGAAGAGTGAACCAGAATACATTCTTTGTGAAAATAAATGTAAATGGGATAAGCTCCCGTATTCAAAGAATTAGTCAGATTTTTGTCAATGAAAATAGTTTTATTGCTTATCTTTAAAGAAAATGGGAAGTACAAAGCAGACACAAAGCCTCTCCTGGGATTCCATGATGCACAAATAATCATTATAAATGTTCTAATGATCATCTTTCCAGAAAACAATTCAGTTTTTACAAACAGGCAATACCATACATGTAGTTTTTAAACCTACCCATTGGAAATGATGTGTATAGGTATTTTTGTTATTGTTATTTGTTTGATGTGGTTTGATGTAGTTTGTTAATTTTTAGAATTTTGTTTGGAATATTTTTTCTGCATAGTTATCTCTCCTCTTTGAAGGTACTTTTCATCAGAGTCATTATGTTTTTTTCCCCTAGTATTTCTATTTGACTTTCCCTTACAGTTACCATCTATCTGC